GGGACGGCGAGGTACTGCCGGCTCAGCTGCGCCCCAGCCGGGAAGCGATGCTCGTTGTTCTTCCACCAGTCCAGCGGGTCGGTGCTGCGCTTGCAGAGAGGCTCCACGATGTAGTTTTCCAGTTGCTGGTGGATCTCGGGCATGCTCTCTGTCGGGTCCTTCCCCAAAAGGATGTCGTACATGCTCTGCGACGGGGTGCTCGAGCATCTGTCCTTGTGAGCGGCCAGCTGGCTGCCTGCCTCTCCGCCCTCGGCTTTGTAATCCGAGTTTGGCATCCAAAACTGGGTGGCAGATGGGGACTGGTGATTGAAAACCTGCGACAGCATGTTTTTGACTCTCTTGTGCAGCTCGCTTCTCAGGCCCGGGCTGAGGAACCTCATCTCCTTGAAGCGCGGGTCCAAAAAGGAGGCAATAACTGCTGGGCTTTCTAGCACCTTCTCATCCTCTGATAGCCCCCAGCGCCGCGTCAGCTCTGCCCTGATGTTGCCTACTACCGTCTTGATGACGGCGCCGGCCTCTTCCGACTGCTGTCCGATGGCGGCGACGATCCCGTGGATGCAAGGCATCAGAGAAGATACGGACACGTTCTGCTCCTCGCGCAGGAAGGAGGTCGCGATCTTGATCGTCCTCATGACCGGCACCAGGTCCTGCAGGAGCTTCCACTGGTGGTCGGCCAAGTTCTGGACCGCCGCCGTGCCCTTGGGGTGTTCCTCCAGCACGGACATGATGGCCCACTTCAGGTCTAAGAGGCTCTCGCACATCTCGATGGTGGTTATCCAGCGAGACCCCACGTCCATCACCAGTTTCAGCTTGGTTTTATTGATGGCTTCTAGCTTGCTGTTTAAGGAGCAGGTGGCTTTTGCGTCCTGCTGAAAGTACCTGACGATGCCCCGGGCGGTGCTCAGGGCTTCTTGCACCTGCTCGACTTCCAGCCCCGCTTTGATGCAGAGGTGAAGGGTGCGAGCGGCGCAGCACAGGCTGCTCCAGCCGTACGCGTTCTTCAGCTGCTGCGAGTTCGCCGCCGTGCTCTGCGGGCTGTCGTGCATGACGCAGAAGACGGATTTGCTGGACAACCCAAATTCGGAGAGGACGGCCTGCAGCTTCTCCCCTAAATCGCCCTCCGCTTTGCCTTCGTGCACTTGCTGCGTCTCCATGACGCACCGTGCCCGCCGCCACTCCCCGTCGATGAAGCTGGCCGAGATAGTCAGGTAGGTCTGGCTGAGCTGGGAGACCCAGAACTCCACGCAGACCACGATGGCCTGAGCCGTCTGCAGGTAGCGCTCCAGGTGCTGCTTGACCACGTTGTACCTGTGCCACAGCATGCTGGAGAGCTGCACGGGCGACGGGAGGGTAAAACTCGGCTCCAGGTACCCGAGGAGGAGCCCGAACCCTTTGTCCTTCACCATGGAGAGAGGGTGCAGGTCGCGGAAGATCATCTCCAGCACCAGCTCCAGGATCACGTCGGTCCTGGGTTCCGAGCAGGACGCGGCGTGGTAGAGGCTGCTCTCCGGCGGCGTCTGCCGGGAGCGTTTCACGGCGTTTTCCTGAGCCGCGTAGTCGGATTCGGAAGTCTGGTCGTCCTTGAGCTGGGAGAGCAAGGTGTCGCGGATGCTGTGCTTCCTCACCAGGTGCTCCCGCATCGTGGTGGTGCTGTTGTGGAAGGAGAGCTGCTTCTTGCAGACGTTGCACTCCACGTAGGCGTCTCCCAGCTTGGTGTAATAGTTCCACACCTTGGACTTGCGACGGTCGACGTAGAGCGCGGTGCTTGTGCCGTCCTGACCCCCGCCTTTCTCCCTCTTCCTCCTGGACGACGGCCCGAGGTTGGCGGCTGCCATGTTGTAGGCGCTGAAGACCATCGGTATTTCCTCTGAGGAGACAAAACGCGACACAACGTAGCCTAGAATTTTAATTTAAACCTCCCTTCCGCTCTCTGGCCTTTAGTCCCGTGCGTTACCCTAAGCCAGGAGCACCCTTTGGGTGGGAGCCTCACGGCGGCTGCCAAGCACCGTGTTCAGATTGCTGCTCTTCCCAGTTTTTGGTTTGTTTGGTGGTTGGTTTTTTTTTGGGGGGGGGGGGGAGCCCCACAGGGGGGCACG